CTGTCAGGGCACAGGATCGTGAGTTAAAGCACTTACCCTCCCCAACCCCCCAGTTTCAGTCAGGCCTGGCTGGAGATCTCAGCTGTGGCCCTAGCCAAGTCACTTCCTCTCTGAGTCTCGGAGTCCCGTCTGCGGTCTGTAACCCGGGAGATTCAAACCCGCGGCGGCAGTGAGTTCCTAGGAGGAGGTGATGCCAACGGCAGGGCCCGGGGGTTGCCTGGGGTTGGTGCTCAGCAGAGAGTAGCAGCTCATGGTGACTCGGGCATGGAGTGGGAAGGCACCTGAGCCAGCCAGCGCCAACCGCCCAGCCGGGCCTCCAGGTTATCGGCACAAGGGCTGGGCGGTGCTGCTCGAAGGGCAGAGTCAGTTGGCGTGAGGGTGGGGGGAGGGGCGACTTTGTCTCGGGCATCGCGGGAGCAGCTGCCTTGTCCAGGGCCCTTCAGAGGGCGGCCAGGAGGAATGTGGGCGCGGTGCCAGGCTCTGGAAGCCTCCCTTCAGTGGCGAGCCCCCAGCCCTGGGTGCTCCCTGGCCCAGCCCCCAAACCCAAGGCTCAGCTTGAGATGGAGATCGGGCTCCCTCCCTGTGAGGCAGAGGAGGAGGAAGAGGAGGTGGGAAGCCGGAATGCTTCCGCCCCTGCCAGGCCTGCTCACGACCAGCTGTGTGGCTCTGGGGGCAGGGCAGGGTGGCGTGACTGCCCACTCGGGCCCCTGCTCCCCTCAAGTACCGGGAAGCTTCTTGTGCACTCACTCGCTTTCCCAGGATATCTGAGCTGCCCGCGGCCTTGGTTTCAGTTCAGGGAGAGGCGGATGAGGGTGGGGGCGTGGGTGGGGGCTTCCCACCAGGGACAGGTCCTGTTCCCGTCTGACCGGCCCCTTTGGGCCATCATCCCGCCTCCCGTGTGGCCATTGCCCACTGCTGGCAGGACAGTGACTAACCTCCCTGTCAGAGGAAGGGCAAGGACAGCAGAGGAAGGGGGGGGGGAAGTACACGCCACGCCCCCACCCCCCTCCCAGGGCTTCCACTTCCCCAGGTGACCAGGTCTTTGAACCAGGCCTAATGGGGGGGGGGGGTGGAGGGATTTGGGGGACTTTCAGAGAAGGGAACACTTGGACCTCTGGATCAGGTCACTTGGACCCTCTGCCACCAGGTCAGTTTTCTCCCAACCAATAAATACCATCGGGCCTGCGCCTGGGGGGAGAAGCCAGTGAAACAGCTGCTTGTCACTGAGCGGGTTTAAGCTTCTGTTCTGTGCCAGGTATTTCCCATGATCCCAGTCCACCTCAAAGGTGAATGTCAGGGGCCGGAGATGTAGTGCAGTGGGTAGGACACTTGCCTTGCACGGGGCCAGCCCTGATTCAGCCCCAACGCCACATGTGGTCCCCAGAGCACCCCCAGGAGTGATCTCAGAGCACCTCTGGGTATGGCTCCAAACTTCCCCCATCCAAAAATAAATAATAATAATAACAACAATAATAATAATAAGGTAAATGCCAACAACAGTCACTGGTTAGTGTTGATTCTTACAGATAGGGTAGGGTATGAGCTTCCTGCGGGCCAGGCTCTGAGCTGAGCGGCAGCTTGGAGCATCTTGTTGGCCTCATTCTTGAGTCCTTTGCTTCCCTGAGGTCAGTGAGCAAGTTGAAGGTGGCCCTACCCCCGCAGGGAGCAGGGCTGGGGCTTAGACCTAGGTCAGTCTCAGCGGAGTCCACGCGCAGCCAGACCTTCAGGAGTTTGACCCTGGAACCTGGGTAATCTGGTTCAGTCCCAAGGCCCGGAGCCCACAGTCCATGATGGGGGCGGTGGGGAGCGGGAGGGAGCGGGGTCTGCTCCCTGGGGCTATCACCTGGAACACCCCTGCAGTGTGGCCACCCAGCACCTGGCCTGGCCCTGCCCTCCACCACCTCCCCAGAATGATGGATCTACTGGCCCCGTAGCCAGCACAGCATTGTCCCCTAGGGGGCCGCCCCCATAATTGATTGACCTTTGATTGATGCTGCCGGCGGTTTGAGCTGCGGCCCAGCTGGGCCTGGAAGCGGCCAGGGACTGAGAGGCAGAGCCCAGCCTTCCAGGGGTGGACACGGGATCTGCATTTCCTCTGGAGCTGAGCCACCACGTGTGGGAGCTTGGCCTGGGACTGGCTAGGGGGCAGGGAACTGGGTCCCGGGGCTTACCTCCACAGTCCTTGTGACCCCGCCCTCCTTACACACAGGGTCACAAGGGGACACAGTAATGCCCTCCCGGGACTGCTGAACTTGGGTGGGGAAGTGGCGGGGGGCGGCTGGGGGGAGGAAGCACATCCTGACACAGAGTCAGTCATAAAACGGGGCCCACGGCATGCCAGTGAGGACAGCTGACCTTTCCAGAACCCCCTCGCAGCCTTGGGTGACCTCCGAGGGCAGAGTCCTCCTCAGTCTGGCCCCGGTTCATTTCTGGGGGTGGATATTAGGAGCCGCCCTGACCACTCCCCCTCTCGTTGCCCAGTAGTGACTGGGAGGAGAAAAGAAAAATATGTGCAGACGTTGCCGAATGTCCCCAGGGATGCACCCCGCCCCCCTGCATGAGAACTGCCGCTTCGGGCTGGAGACAGGCTCAGTGGGCTGAGCACCTGCTCTGCACGCCGGGAGGCCCGAGTCTGATCCCTGGCACCGCCTGGCGCCCTGAGCAGCAGCAGCAGGAGCAGCCGCCAGGCGCTGAGCCAGGAGCAGCCCCCAAGCGCCACCTGGCGTGGCCCGGACTGAAACAGCAGCTTGGAAGGAGACGCTGTTTCCCCGCAGTTGAGCCGCCGGCCCAGGCAGCACGGTCTGTGGGCAACTAGAGGGGTTGGCCCTGCCCTGGCGCACTGGCTGACCTTCACTGGCTCCCAAGTTCATAGAATAACCGGGAAGTGGAGTGGTGGTGATGGGGAGGGTGCCCTGGGTTCACGTTCCCTCCCTGACACCATATGGTCCCCTGAGCACAGCCAGGATGCTCCCCTCCACCCCCACTGGAAGAGGAAAAAGAAGCAGTTTGGGGCCAGTGCCCATGCTGACCTGAGTTCTGCAAATGGTCCTCTGAGCACTGCTGGGGGAAGCCCTGGAGCACAGCCCTGGGGGCACCGGGACACCCTCGGAGTCTGGCGCAAATGAAAAGCTGATAAAGGAGGGTTGAGAGCATCCTTTGCCCACAGGCCACAGATTCTGCAGATAGAAGCCAGGACCTCACCCCGGAGCCTCACCTGGGAGAGCAGGGACCTGCCCGACCCAACCCCACACTACGGGCACTGCCCACACACACACACACACACACACACACACACACACACACACACACACACATCCCAGCCCCTGACCCCTGGTGGGAGAAGGCCCAGACCCAGGTCCCTGCAGGGGGTGCCCGGAGGCCCAGGTTCCTGTGCTGCGTCACTTCCCAACACTGACTCACTGGCTGGGGAGCTATTTATACTCCTCGCACAAATGCTGCACCCGGCGCTCCAGGCACCCGTGTCTGATCCACCAGCAGCCCCGGGACGTGAGAACAGGGGACTGGGCCCAGAGCAGATTTGGGTGACAGACATTGTGGGGCAGGGGTGGGGTGGGGGTGGGGGAGCCCAGCTCCTTCCTTTACTGCTGTGTGACATTGGACAGGCCACTCAATCTCTCTGAGCAATAAGAGATGTTTGGGATTTTTTGTTTTTGTTTTTTTTTTTTCAAAACTTTTATATTAAGGGACTGGAGCGATAGCACAGAGGGGAGGGCATTTGCCTTGCACCCGGCCAACCAGGTTCAATTCCCAGCATCCCTGAGCACCGCCAGGAGTAACTCCTGAGCATCACTGGGTGTCACCCAAAAAGGAAAAAAAAAATTTAATTTAAAAGTGTTTTTTTTTTAAGTTATCTTAATTTTATTTCTGTGCTTTACATTGCCAATGATAGGGGTTCATGTTGATGACATTCTAACGCCAGTGTGACCATTTTCCTCTACCGTTGTCCCTGGATTCCCAGCTCCATTTCCTTGCAGGTAGCTGCAAATGGCATGATAAACAAACTGGCGCGTGTACACACATACTCATGCACACACACACACACACACACACACACACACACACACACACAGTGGAATGCTGCTGGGCTGTAAGGAAAGATAGTAAGATTTTTATGAATGCCGAGTAATAGAAATCATGCAAAGTTTCCAGCACAGACAGGCTTTTTTTTTTTTTCTTTTTGGGTCACAGCCGGCGATGCATAGGAGTTACTACTGGTTCATGCACTCAGGAATTACTCCTGGCGGTGCTCAGGGGACCATATAGGACGCTGGGAATCGAACCTAGGTCGGCTTCGTGCAAGGCAACTGCCCTACCCGCTGTGCTATAGCTCCAGCCCCACAGACAGGCTTTTGAATGGTTGCTCTTACATGAGCTCTCGCAGGAAGGTCCTGAGTGATGAGAAGGGGGTTAGGGAACAGGGTCCCTTGCTCCATCTCTAGCACCCCAATATTCCCTCCAGCACCTTAAGGCATAGTTCCAACTGCCCCCAGCCCTGCTGAGCCAGGCCCTGAACCCCTAGAGCAGGACCCAGGTCAGCCATCCCTTCCCCCCAGCACCACTTGGGGAGACCCAAGTCAATGCCAGAGCCGGGAGTGGGAGGTGAGGCCGAATGGGACTCCGGGTCCCCAGCACCAACACTGACCAGAGGCCTTGGGGGCCACTCACAGTTTCCCTGGGCTCCAGCTCAGATTCTGTCCCCCAAGACAGGCAGGAGTCCAGGTAGGCTGATGAGAGCGCCAGGCGTGTGGCCAGCTCCCCACCCACTCCCCACCAGTTAGGAATCTTCTTGCCCGGGGCTTCATTCCACATGTGCGAAGGTGCGTGGTGCAAGCCCCTTATCCAGAGCCACTGCACTGTCACCGTGCCGAGAACTGGGGACTTCCCCTGGACTGAGGCTGTGTGGTGGGAGGCGCCCTCAGGGCCCCCAGCCCTCCCACCCCCTGGCTCTGGGATTCTCAAGGGTCCTTCTGCACCTACAGGTATGACGCTGGCCGGGATGGCTTCATTGACCTGATGGAGCTCAAACTCATGATGGAGAAACTCGGAGCCCCCCAGACCCACCTGGGCCTGAAAAACATGATCAAGGAGGTAGACGAGGACCTGGACAACAAGCTCAGCTTCCGGGAGGTGAGTCTCCCTCCCCATAGGAGGGCGATGCCCGCCCCACCCCCACACCCCTGCTTGGTCGCTGAGTGCTCACGAGTGGCTGGGTCGTCCAGCCGGGCACTGCTGCGAGCAGTTTGGTTCCTGCAGGCCCCCCAGGGCCAGAAGGAGGATGGACAGAGAGACATGTCTGCACCATGATTTCCAAAAGTGGCCTGGAGCGTGGGGCAGGAGGGTTCGGCCCTGGAGTGGGGCTAGGGGGCTTCATCTGGTCGCTGGCCGGCCTCGCTGTGAGCCCAGGGCCATGGGCCAGCCTCTTCTGGGTCTCCTCTGTGCCAGGGCACTGTGGGTCCAGAGAGAATGGGCCAGGGAGGGGCACACTGGCATATTGGAGCCAGAGCATGGGCTCAGAGGTCAGCAAACCTGCATCCTCAAACCTTTCTTCCATCCCCTTCTAGAGCTGAGGTTTCGGAGTGTTTAATTCTCATCGCTGAGCCTCCCTTCTTTTCTGTCAAACGGGCAGGATCCCGTACCTGTAGTAATAAGGAATTCAGAATAAACTGGTCTGGGGACGGGGGGACTCCAGGGTACCAGGTTCTGGGAGGCTGAGTTGTCCTGTCACTGATGGGAGCTGAGTGTGGGTGGAGGAGCCCAGGGATTCCGGTTCCTGCCCGGTGTGCTGACGGGCAAGCAGAAGCCCAGAGAGATGGGCACCGGATGGGGACGAGCTCCCTGGCACGGAGCCCAGGGAGCCCAAGTCTCTGGCTCTGCCTTGTGGGCACCTCCTCCCTGGCCGGGCCCTAACGCTGCGCCTTCTCTGTGCAGTTCCTCCTGATCTTCCGCAAGGCGGCCGCGGGGGAGCTGCAGGAGGACAGCGGGCTGCATGTGCTGGCCCGCCTCTCCGAGATCGACGTCTCCACTGAGGGGGTCAAGGGCGCCAAGAACTTCTTCGAAGCCAAGGTGAGGGGCAGAAGCCCCAGGTGGGGGGCGGGCCTGGGGTTCCCTGAATGGTAGCAGCTCCCCACCCTGACCCAGGGGTCCTGCAGGCAGGAGGCGGGAGCTGACTCCCCGCCCAGTCCATCCCCCCCCCACACACACACACCACACACTGGGCCTTCCCAGCTGGGGTGAGTCGGGGGGGGGGTCTGTGTTTCTGATTTTTAGTTGGGGGGGCACACCAGGCAGTTATCAGGGGCTACTTCCAGATTGATGTTGGGAAGGGAGAAGGCAGGGGGTCACTCCTAGGGGACTATGAAGTGCTGGAGATGAGACCCCGGTCTCCCACCTGCAGTGCCTGTGCTGCATCCCCCTGGACCATCCCCCTTGAAAAGGCAGTGCCCCCCAGAGGACTGGGAGAATACGACCCCCACAGGGGTAGGGTGTGGTAGACCCGGAGGCCTCCCTCAGCAGCCCCGTGATAGGAGGGGCAGCTCTCCTGGACCCTGACTTCCTAGGGCCCTACCGCTGGGCTGCCCTGGCTGAGAGAGTGCCCCAGGGGAGGAGTGGATGCAGCTGGGCCCCTCAGGACAGGAAGCATTGGGTGGGAAGGGACCCACGCACACCCCCACCCCCACCCCGCAAAGGTCTGTGTGGCACAGCAGGCAGAGGTCAGAGGTTAGAAGTTCTTCATGGAGGAACAAGCTCAGTCGGCATAACCTGGGACCCCAGAGCAGGCGAATCCTAGAGCCAGAGACCTTCCAAGCCTGACCCATCTCCCCCGGCCTGCCCCCCCCAACCCCACCCCCAGGTCCAGGCCATCAATGTGTCCAGCCGCTTCGAGGAGGAGATCAAGGCCGAGCAGGAGGAGAGGAAGAAGCAGGCGGAGGAGATGAAGCAGCGGAAAGCGGCCTTCAAGGAGCTGCAGTCGACCTTCAAGTAGAGGCGCCGGCCTGACCGCCCGCCCGCCTGGCCAGCCCGGGCCAGAGCCCCAGCCCACAATCCGTGCGAGGGGACCACCCCAGATACCCCACAAACACCTGTGAACGGAGCAAGCGCTGCGTGTGGAGGGGTTCAGAGGGGCCCTGTCCCCCACGGTCGGCTCCCCGGCCAAACCCTCCCCCCCAACCCTGCACTGGGCCCCCAGCTGCCGCACTGCCTGCTCAGCACGGCTTTCACCATCCCAGCCCAGTGCGGCTGTGTGTCGTCCCCCCTCCCCACCTTCCCCTGAGCCATCCCCAGTCACTTCCCCACCAGAAGAGGTCCCCCTGCACCCCGTTGTGCTCCTGTGGAGAACCCCCAGGGCTGGGGAGCTGATCTGCTGGTTATTGGTCCCAGGCTCCCTGCTCCCCCAGGCCTGTTCTCAGCCTCGCCCCCCTCCACACACATGGGAGTCAGGAAGGGCCCAGACAGGCTGGGGGAGGGGCAGCTGTGCCATTCTACCTCAGGAGCCCACGCTCTGCCCACTGTACCCCAGGAGCATGGGCAGCGGGGGCTCCAGGGGGCAGAAAACCGAGCCTGAGGGTCCCGGGGGGCTCCCCCAGAGGAGGGTGGGGACGAGGTATTGGCCCCTGCCAGGGCCCGAAAGCCAGCACCCCTCCCGGCTCCGTTCCTTGGGAGTCGATCAAGAAGTGCTTTAAAGTGGTTTGCGTGGGCAGGTGAGGGGGTGGGTAAACAGGGGAGGGGGGGGTCCTGTCTCAGCCCTTTCACGCCCACCCTCCCCCGCGGTCACCGGCGGCGGCAGCAGCCGGGACTGGTCCCCATCTTTCCACCACGGCCCCTCGCGGCTCCCAGTGTGCCCACGTGCGTGTGCGTATCCTTTGCTGTGTCGTGAAAACTGTGACGTGGTTCTCGTTCCCAACAAGTGAAGGGGCCGCCGAGCCCCCCCCCCCCGCCCCCACTCCCCCAAACCCGTATGCAACTTCTGGTGTGTGTATCTGCCAACGTCACTGCTTGTGAGACTCGATAACACTTTATTTTAGTAAGAGGCCCATGAAACTCCCACGGGCCTGCAGAGGTTTTATTTTTTTGGCCTTAGAATTTGCAGAGTTTAGGAGGCACTGACACCCCACCCCCACCCCACCCAGCCCCCCCATGCCCCACCCCATGTCCCAGCAGCCTTGGCCCCGGATTGCGTTTGCCTTAGCAGATATGTTTATACAGATGAATATAGATCTTTTCTTTTGGCTTACTGCTTTTTTATTTTTCCTCTTCCCTTCTCACTGATGCCCCCCCCCCGACACATTCCCTGCAAGTGCTACTTCTTCATTCAGTGGTACGATTATTTTTTTTAACTAAAGTAAGATAAAAATCATATATTCTCACGTGTGTGTGTGCTTCTTGATGGTGGATGGGGGTGGGTGTGAGTTGGGAGCGGCCGGAGGGAAACCCGAGGTGTGGGGTCCCCAGAGGAGACAAGGGAGGTGTCCCCAAGACGGTGACATTTCACTCACACATGGTAGCCCTGAAGACCTATCGAAAAGCTCCACACCAGATCCTGACAACTAGCCTGTGCGGGTTTATCCCCAGACAAGAAAGGGCGGCCGGGAAATCCCAAGGGTGCACTAGATATGGGCAGCCAGGTACAGCCCAGGACACGGCAGAGGCTGTGTGTGAGCACCTCACCGCCAGACCTCCCTGCTCTGCACATGCACGGGAGCCATACTAGCATGTCCAGGGGACCTGACGCATACACGTGGCCAGGGGTGGTCCTGAGACCATGAGGCTCCTCAGGCTCCCCAAGCTGGCACAGTCTGGGGTGAGGGTAATGAGGACAGTCGGACGAATGGGGCACCCACGGGACCCCAGACTCCACATCTGTTTAACGGGTAGGTCTTGGGTGGGGGTGGGGGTGGTACTCGTCTCTTCCTGGGCCTGCATTCCTAGGCAGAGGGATGCTGCTGGGGATCAGGCTTCTTGTTGCAGCCCCCTAGTGGTGGACATGGGTGGTCAGCCCTCTGCCTTGAAGAAGAAGGAATCTGTCTCTCTGTCTCTGTCTCTGTCTCTGTCTCTGTCTCTCTCTCTCTCTCTCTCCTCTCACTATCTCTCTCTCTCTCTCACATACACACACACACACACACACACTCCCACCCCCGGCTGAGGGCATAATGAAAGCCTGGGGTGATTCAGACTAGAAATAGGGTCGCTGAAACCCTCCCAGGCCTCTAGGCGGGAGCGATAGCACAGCAGAGAGGGCACTTGCCTTGCACATGGCCAACCTGGCTTCGACCCCCACCATCCCATATGGTCCCCCGAGCCCCACCAGGATAATTCCTGAGCACAGAGCCAACAGTCACCCTTAAGCATCGCTTGGGTGTGGCCCAAAGAACAAACCAATCACCACCATCATCTCAGGCCCCCTCCTGCCTGGGTGCCTTCCCAGAGTCTTCCCAGAGCCGTCACACCTTCTTAGAGCCCCAGAACGTCCATTCGTCTGGGTTTAAGAAGCCCTGCCAGCCCCACCCACCTTTCTGGGCCCAAGCAACAGCTGCCACCTCCATGTCCAGCCCCTGAAACGTAAAATTCCACAGCAGCTGCCCCACTTCCCAGGCTCCCAGCCTCCCACATGCCAGCCTTGGCGCCACTCCTGAGAGACATTGTCCCCGGAGTCCCACCCCAGCCAGGTCACCCACAGCTGTCGCCCCAACACTTTCTGACTGACACTCAGTGGCTGGGGACACTTCCAGGCTCCAGGAGGCCCCACCTCGGGCCTCAAAAACATGAAGGTTCATGGGGCTCGGGGCTGGACTCTTGGGGACTCTTTGCACCTGGAATCCTAGAGAAGGACCTTTCCTAAGCAACACCCCATCCCAAGCCAACTGGCTCTCACTCACAACCCCCAGTCCTCTGCACAGAGCACTCAGAGCTGAACATCATCCTGGGGCCCAAGAGGCTATGCCATGGAAGGGTGCTTGGCCTTGCGTGCCTCTGGCCCCATGGTACCACGTTGTCTCCTGAGTATTGCCAGGAGGTGTGGCCCTGGAGGCCTCTGAACATGGCCAGGGTGGGCTGGGTGGGTGATCCCTAGCACCATACCCTCGGGGTCTTGCATTGAAACAGGGCAGTTGGCCAAAAAATAATCACCAGAAGACCCAGACCCCCTCAGTACCACTTGGAAGACAACCCCCACCCTCATCCAAAAAATAAATAAATAAAACATCATCCTGGCCACAGGAGGGGCTGCTCAGGGTGTTGCATTGCCACCACCCCATTCCTAGTACCTACTTAGAGAAAGGGAGCGTGGGAGGGATGAATGAATGAATGAATGAATGATGGCTTCTGTGTACAGGGCAAGGCAGTTCCTCTCAGGCCTTACCAGCTAAACAGCCACATCTTTAGGTTCTCGAGTTAATGCAAGCCTAGTGCCGCCCTCCAATCCCAAGCAATCTTTCCCTCCTAGACCTGCATCCTGGCCACGCACACGGCGAGACACACACACACATGAAGGCAGTTTGAGTCTTGGGGTTAAGAGAGGTTGTTTCCCCTGCAGTGCTGTGACACAGCTAAGGACAGTTCCCAGTGCAGAACAGGCCCTTGTGGTGGCCACAGAGCCTTCTCCAAAGCCTATGGTATAGGGGCTGCCAGAGGGACGCTGGGCCAGGGCCAATTTGCCTGCCTGTGCAAATGGGCTCAGCACTGTGCCATGGGCTCATAGAAACTTTAAGGTCCATGAAAATGTTTCAGTTTCTTTCAAAATCAGCAGGGGGCCAGGAAATGGATTATAATCATCTTTATACCCATACAGTAATAGAACATCATTTTGGGGGTTGTTTTGTTTTTGTTTTTGTTTTTTTTATTAGTGAAACACCATGAGGTACAGTTGTAGACTTACAAGCTTTCGTGCTTGGGTTTCAGTTATACAATGATTGAGTACCCATCCCTCCACCAGTGCCCATTCTTCAACACCAATGATCCCAGTAGCCCTCCCACCCCCCCACCCCCATCTCCCCCATCCCACCCCGCCTCTGTGGCAAGGCATTCCCTTTTGCTCACTCTTTCCTTTAGGGTGTTGTAGTTTGCAATAGAGGTATTGAGTGGCCATCGTGTTCGGGCTATAGTCTACTTTCAGCATGCATCTCGCATCCCGAGCTCAGTGGCTACTCCTGCCTCAGTGGTCAAGGGCTGTTCCCGGCAGTGTTTAGAGAACTATGTGGTGCCAACCTCCAACATGCAAAGCATGTGCTCAGGCAGTTGATCTCTCTCGCCAGCCCACTTTTTAACATCTTTTGAGGAAGGAATCTGCAAAATCAAGAGGAACCCATGACAGGCCAGGTTCTAACTTTTCCTTGAGAACCAGATGACATTGCTAGAGAAACAGCACAGGAGGATAAGGCACTTGCCTGACACGCAGCCAACCCATGTTCATACCCAGAACCGGATATAGTCCCCTGACCACTGCCACAAGAGATCCCTGAGCACAGAGCCAGGAGTTTTTAAGCCCCAAGCACTGCCAGGTGTGACCCAAAAACAAACAAAAAAAATTTTTAAATGTAATTAAAATTTGCCTTGCATGCAGCCAACATGGCCGACCCGAGTTCGATTCCTCCGCCCCTCTCGGAGAGCCCGGCAAGCTACTGAGAGTCTCTCGCCCGCACGGCAGAGCCTGGCAAGCTCCCCGTGACATATTCGATATGCCAAACACAGTAACAACGAAGTCTCCAATGGAGACGTTACTGGGCCCGCTCGAGCAAATCGATGATCAACAGGAGGGCCTTTACCTTTTTTAGAATTTAAAGATACCAGAACCAGATGATGGCCATAGAGCTATCCCAGTAGCAGACACATGTGGTATTAGCCATATGCCAGGCACTCCCTATGATAGCCCCACCGAGGCAGGACCCTGAGGTTGAGTTACTAACACGAGATCACACAGCTAGAAAACTGTGACTCTGGGGTTTTCTCTCCAACAGGAGCACAGCCCATCCTGAGGCAAAACCCCCAACCTCCCCAAACCCTGTCACGTGACTCCGTTGCCTCCAGGTGCTGTTGTGGGGTGCTGCCTCCACAAGGAAGCCCGACCCTAACATCAATGCTGGTGGGCTCTTTCCACAGCAGCCAGCACCCCCCTCCTCCAGCAAGGCCCGTTCCTCTGCTACCTTCCAGAGAACGCAATTGCCGGCTCTTCATCTGCCTCTGACCTCTGCGGGCCTGTGCATCTGCAACCTAGAGGTGTGCATGTGTCTCCTCACATGTCTGCTTTCACTCAGGCTCCCTATGACACTCATGTACGCGAGTTTGTGCACTTGGAGTCACCGCTGTCTGTCTGACTGCTTCTATGTGGGCTTAGATGCGTGACTTAGATCAGGGCTACGGCACTGCTAATTACATTCTCAGGTTGTTCAAGAGAGAAACTGAGACCCAGAGAGGTTGCCTGAGGTTGGCAGGAGGAATGTCTCCTAACTCCCCAGTGCTTAAAGATCTGTCCCCTGCCTCTGTTCCTCTCCCTGCCTCCCATTCAGTTCCTGTAAAAGGGTCAGAGCACCCCTTGACAGGACCAATCCCTCTGAGTATTTGGTGAATTGGGGCAGTAGCTACTGAATTAGAGTCTTAGGCCATGGAAGATTCTGAAACCTCAAAGACCACCAGGCATACCCACCCTTACACTATGTCTTTGTCTTTTTATTTTTTAAAACCAAAACTATAGGAGCTGGAGTGAGAGTACAGCGGGTAGGACATTTGCCTTGCACGTGGCTGATCCGGGTTTAATTCTCAGCATCCCATATGGTCCCCCAAGCACTTCCAGGAGTAATTCCTGAGTGCAAAGCCAGGAGTAACCCCTGTGCATCGTGTATCGCTGGCTGTGACCCAAAAAGAAAAAAAGAGAAAAAAAAAACAAAAAAACCCTATATTATTATTTTTTTAACCCCAAAGAGAAAACTTGAGGGTCAGAGAGCTAGTCCAGGGATAAGGTGCTC